TGCCAAAACATGCCTTAGAACACTTAGGCAAAATTTTTGAAAATAAGGTCCACGCTCGAGCGTAGCTTTCCTCACTCGAGCGGACATGCAAAATGTAAATGGTCGCTCGAGCGCACATTCCTTCGCTCGAGCGATCTGTAAAAGACATGAAACTTCTGAGAGCTTGCAATTCACGCTCGAGTGGACTTTTGGTTGCTCGAGCGGAGTGCACGCACTCAGTTGGTCGCTCGAGCGTGAACTCCCACGCTCGAGCGTAGATGCAAATTATGAAATTTCCAGATTGCACCTTCAAGCTCAAAACTCGAATTTCAACCTTCAAAACACATCTCTTGGGCCCCCAAAACTTGAGATAACATAGTAAACTTGTAAAACATGAAGAATTTAGGATCATTTCATAAAATCATGGCCCAAGGGTTTACCAAAAGTTCCCAATTTCAATTTAAACTTCAAGAATGTTTATGAACACAACATGCATGAATTTTTCTTGTATCAAACTTCTCAAAACATGATCAAATACCACAAAACAACTTGAAACTTGATGATTTCCCCAAATGAAGATGAATTTCAAACATGCAAGAGAGGATTCATGGAAATCATGTTCAATTTGTAAGAAAATACACATGCATGCATGAATTAACTCTAAATTCATCATCTATGGTCCAACTCTTGTACATAATCACAAATTCTTCTTGAAATGATCTACTTGATGGTTAAAACTCATAACTAAGTCTTAAATCCTTACTTAGAGTCTTCAATTTGCTAGGTACTTGCGCAATCTTTGATCAATTCAAGCTATAGCCTTCAATCTCTCCTTAATCTCTTCCTTTCTCTCTCTAGAATTGTGCTCCCTCACTCTCTAAAATGTTTCACCAGTTTTGGCACTAAGAGGTAAAAGAATTGAGCTCAAAAATGAGCTTAAGGGTTACATATATAGCTATGGTGCTAAAATACATTAATTAGAACATAAGGCTTGCCAAACGCAACTTAACGAATTCAATGCTTATCAGGATCCACAAAACCCAACAATATCAAAGCCATAAGTGAAATCCTAGTTGCTGATCGAAGAAAAAAACTTTTTTGCTGATAAAAAAAAAAAAGTGAAATCCTAGTCACCAAAGGCAGGCAGGCCTTCAAGGCAAAAGAGAAAAAAAATGTCAAACTCAGAGGGCTTGCTTAGTTATGTTTTTGTTTTCTGTATTCATTTTCCAGAAAACAAAAAAAATGTGTTTGGCATACTGTTTCTGAGAATTCTTCCTGAGAAATTTTTCTAAAATCAACCCACTTTTCATGAGACACCAAAAAGTTATTTTAGAATTTGCAAAACAACTTTGACACAAAATTGAAAATAATATGTGGGTGTTTTCGAACATTTCATTGCTTTTGTTTCCAAACACATGAAAACAAAAGCAGAGAAAATAAAAACATGTACAACCAAGCTTGGAAAATCTGGAGTAACTTTTAAGCAAAGAAAATATTCATGACTTCGCTGTCCCTAGCAGACAGATGAGTATGTGCAGGATGATATTGGTACTGGTAATTGAATAATTGGAAACAATAGTATGTTTTGATCATGAACTGTTTGGTAGACATCTACTATTATAAGTATAAATCATCTAAGTGATTTTTTAACACGTGGAACGCACCTCATCAACTCCATCTGTGTCAGTAATGTCAAGAAATCCTTTGATAAGGGAATTGAAAACAACAAGATTTGGATGCACTCTAAGATCCTTCATCCTGTACATGAATCTCAAGGCATCCACCATATTTCCTTCCTTACAGTATCCATTAATGATGATTCCACAAGTCCGCTGATTGGGCAGCACTTTGTTATTCTGCATCTCCAATATCATTCCTTCGGCTGTACTCGTTTCCCCATTTTGAGAGTAAGCCCGTGCCAATGTGTTGTAAGTGACAACATCGGGTCTCAAACCAGATGAAACCATCCTATACACCACATTCCATGCCTGTTCAATGTTGTTCTTGATACACCATGCTCGGGCAAGAATATTATATGTCTTATCATTTGGTTTCACATTTTCTTCATTCGACATTAGTTCCAACACTTTCAAAGCTTCTCCAGGCTTGCCAACGATCCCAAACCCTTTAATTAATGTGTTAAATGTGCTAGTTGTGTTTATTACAGTTCTCTCCTTCATTTTTTGGAAATTATATCCCCCTCCCTGAGGTTTAATGTTTCATTACAGATTGCTCCCTCCAGTAATTTAATTTTTCTAAATACTAATTTTGCCCTCGCTGGATAAATTACATTGACACCCCTCACATTTTACAAATTACAATCCCCTCTCAAGGTTTAAAGTAGCATTATCAATTGCCTCCTCGGTTAGTATTAGTTGAAAAAAAAATTCATTGAAAAAAAATAATTAATTCAAAAAAAATAATTAATTGAAATTTTTTTTTGTTAGTCAAATTTTTAAATTTCTATTTAAAAACCAACGTAAACTCATTTTTTGAGTTTAAAATTTTTCCTTAAATTTACAAATTTATACAACCATTTATAAACTAAAAAAATTATCAAACAAGTTCTTATGACAATTTTTAAAATTTTTGTAAATATAAACTGAAAACAAAATGATTACCAAACAGCCAATAAACATCCAAAACATAAAGAAGAAAGAAAAAAATAGAGAGCAAAGAAGAAGTAAGAGAGAGAGAGAGAGAGAAGTCGAATCCAAGGTTGTTAAGATCGGGATCCTACACAGGATTGTTTTGGGGGTCTGCTAGATCGGATTGTAGGATCGGATCGATGATTGTATGATCCTACTAAAATGATAAAAAAAGACTATAATTTTTATATGACTAAAGTAATACTATCAAAATGTATATAGAATGACCCCTCAAAAAAAGAAATATAGCAATTCAAAGTAGCATTCAAACGAGTTGTGCTAAACAACTTTTGTGGTTCAAATTAAAATATTTTTTTTCAGCAAAGTTCAAGGAAAAAGAACCAAAGAAGAACAACAGTAGCAGCAAAGAAGAACAAGAAAAATGAAGAAGAAAATGGTTGGAAGAATGAAGCAATAGAAAAAAAAAAGAAGAAGAAGAAGAAGAAAAAGTGATTCGAAATTCTTGTCAAATGTTTCAATCAAAGTTCTAGTTTTCAGTCACTCATATGTTTACTTTGATCAGGAAAAGAAATAGAACAAACAAAAAAATAAAATAAAAGATATACAGAGAATAACAGTCGAACTACAGAATAGAGAGAGAGAAGAGGATGAACAAAGAAGTCAAGAGAAGAAAAATGGTGATTCGAACTACAGAGAAGAATTGAACACATAGAAGAAGAAGAAGAAAAAGAGCAGCAAAGAAAAGGAAAAAGACGTTCGAGCCTATTTGACATTGTAGCCGATGAAGTTAGTATCTTTCTTTCTTCATCTCTCTCTATTTTCTTGCTTTTCTCCTTTAAGCAGCAAGTGTATCCATTCATCCACTTGTGTAACTCATATTAAATTTTACATATCTCTACTGAAAATTCTTATGCCTATGGATAAATTAGTGGCATGGTCATCAACATGACATGTGACATAAATGCATGGGAACAGGACCATCTCTTGCTGTTATTGTGATTGTAATAGTGCATACCCTTTTGGATATTGATTTTCTATATTCATTGGTTGTTCTGAATCATTAATCAATCCCATATTTCAAGTGTGATACACAATGTTTTGAAACTTGGATAATTATGCATTAACATCGAATAGTGACATTATAATTTCATCATAAATATGTTGATAATTATGCATTAATAAACTATAGCTATTAAATTACAAAAATATACACTTATATTATCAGTTTATTTTTAATATAAGATTTTGAATAATATGCATTGTTATTTTATAGAAAGTTGTAATGATTTTTAATAAAGTCGGAACAATAATAAATAATATATACCTTTATAGATAGAGTAAGTGTAGTGTGTAGTTCAGTGGTCTTGGGCTAAGCCTTTCCCAACAGAAATGGAAATTCAAGTCTCCAACAGGACAAAAATTTTAAGTGAATGCATTGTGAATGCCCAGTGGTTCTTATGGCTTAACTGATTGCAGGTTCAAACGGTTTATCTAAGAATCACTGGTTCTTGAAAATGTCCAATTCTAATGGTCTATCTGAACTGGAACTTAGACTGGTCGTCGATTTAATCGGATGGTATAGTCTAGTCCAGTTTCAAAGACATTCGTGATATGTATATTTTCTCAAAATAGCTTTTGCTTCCTCTGTTTTGAATGTGCATTCATAAATGATAATTGTATTATTCCACTTTTAAAATCCTTAAAGAGGTGGCCTAGTTGAGCAAATTTCTTTTCCAAAAGTCCATATTGGGATCAATATGGTTAGATTTCTGTTTTCAGATCCATGCAAATTTGGTGTTTACTTTTATCTTTTCAAATACTTGTCATTTATACACCTCTTTTCTTGCATTTCTCCTTTATGCAGTTAGTTGACACTACTCACATGTAATCACATGATTTCTTTACGGTCAACCCTCAAATTGAGACATAAACAAACAACCCATTGCCGGACGCTCCTGCTTTGGACGAAGAGTGTGAATTGATGGACCCTCCTGCTTTGGACGAAGAGTGTGAATCAATGGATTATAAAAATATGTGCTTGTGGCATTGTGATCCATATTTGTCCACCTCCTCTCTCTTTTTTCTTTCACTCATCTTCTCTCTCTCTATGTATATATCGCATCTCCGAATTTTGAGAGAGAAAAAGAAATAGAAAATCTTTGAATCAAAATCCATTCAACTAAACACTAACTCTCGAACTCCACCACTACCAATTTTGTCAAAACCCTAATCGCCTCGGATCATGTATATATCCGAATTCGAATTTGGGTTTTGGTGGATTCAATTTGGAGACCAGAGAGAGAGAGAGAGAGAGAGAGGGATCATGACTCGACGGTGTTCGTATTGCAGCCACAATGGCCACAACTCTCGAACTTGCCCGAATCGTGGAGTCAAGTTATTCGGAGTCCGGCTGACTGATGGATTGATCCGAAAGAGTGACAGTATGGGTAACTTGACCCATTACACCGGATCCAGTAGCAGTCACCTTCAAAATGGCCTCGCCGAAAACAACCACGACTCTCTCGGAGACACGCTAGACCACAGCGGCGCCGCCGGAGATGGGTATGCGTCGGAGGATTTTGTTCCTGGGTTGTCGTCCAGTTGGGAAAGAAAGAAAGGTTGGAACTTTGTTTATGTTTATGGGTTCAGTGGTTCTAATTTCGAAGTTCTGGATCTACAAAGTTCGATTTTTGATTTTTGAATTTTGATTTTTTTTAATTGGTGATATTGTGAAGAATCGAATTCAAAATTGAATGAATTAGTCAATATTTTAGAATTGCCTGAGCTTTAAATTTTTATTTATTTTTTAGTTGCTTACAAAGAACGAAGAGTTTAAGCAGAGAAATGATGAGTTTATTTTATTTGGGTTGATGGTTTTCTATGTGAATTTGAGTGATTTGATGAGATATAATAAAAATTATGAAAAAGGGCTCATATTTGGTTTACAAATTGAATAAGAAATGATGAGAAATGGAAATAAACAGAATTTGCTAGTTCAAGTAGTAGCAGAACCAATAAATTAAATTAGAAGAGACATTTACTAATTATAACATTAAAAATTTATACAAAAATATTTTATATAAATTTTTACGATTGATTTCAATAAAAGTTAAAAAAATATGTTATTTGTAATTAGTGTATCATGGACAATATTAAAAAAAATCATAAGTATGAAGTTTTAAAATAAATTACATAATGATAAAGTAATTTTTATATAAAATATGCGTAACAATTCAATATAATAGTCATACTACGTCATCATTAATATGTGATATCACTAACCAATAGTAAAGAAACACATGGATGATGAATCCTACATGTCAAATGTAACTAACAATTTAATAAATTGTATATTTTCATTGATATTAATTATATTTGCATGTTAATAATAATAGACATCTCCATTATATTGAATTTTCATAAATAATAATATCATAGTCTATTTATTTTCAATCGAAACAACCATTATTGTTCTTATAATTTTAAAAATATCATTGATATTTCACTCTAGATAATATTTTTATAAATTTTTTTTATTTAAAATATTTTCTTTATGTTTGCACCCAAAAAAAAATCCAAAACCCAAGAGGGCACGTGAGCCCCTCCCCAGACCCTCTATACCTCTGCCACTGTTAAGGGGTGGCACTAAATGCACCCTAAAAGTTAAGTTGGAGATTCAATTACTTTTTTTACTCAAATGAGAGATCACAATGATTTCTTTTATTTTTTCACATAGCTCAAGCTAATAATGAATATAAGATTCAGAACTTAGAATTATTTTTTTCATCAATAATTTATTAGGAACCAACCTTGGATTCGTAACTCGGTTTTGCTCGGATGCCTGCTGTGAAGCATAGACAGGGACACGGGACACAGATATGACACGGATACATCATCACAGAAAATTTCAAAAAAGTAAGACACCGAAGCAGCTCGGACATGGCACAAATAATTATATTTTGATATAATATTATTTAAGAATATATTATATTATATAGTTATATATGTGCATAATATATACAAATTAAATAATTACTTTATACTAAGTAAATCTTATATCTAATTCTCTTACATGAATTTTTAGACTACCAGTTTGAACTATAGTAGTTAAAAACTAGACAAAATATAGGAAACATATATAATTGCAACATTTCCCTTATCCTCTTAAGTAATCTATTTATATATATATTTTAAAGAATTATACATTTCATTATTATTAAGAATCATACGTTGTTTTTAAGAATATAAAATATGTATGTCAAATTCTCAAATTTTGAAAATCATGCGTTAGCAAATGTCAAAGTGTTGATCTCATGTTTATATTTTTAGTGATAGACATGGCCAAAAAGTGACGGACACGTTGTAAGATGAGTGTCGAACATGTGTCCAAAATTAATATTTTTAATTTCAATTAAGGACACGTAAAAAAGAGTATCAAATATGTGTCCGAAAGTGTCGGTGTCCGACATAGACATATCTCCTTCTTAGAAGTGTCTGTGCTTCTTAGGATGCATGGGAAGGAGAATCTAGGAGCAGTTATTATTATTATTAAAGCTTCTTTGCATTTTATGACCAAAAACTAAAATGTTTGGTCTTTCTTTGTTTTATCTTTTCAGATGAATTTTTAACTAGACTGCTTTAACTTTTGTGAGGTTCAAGTGGGTTTTTATGCATAGATCGTCAATGATTGATTTTAATAAACGCTCTAAGTCACTCTGGTAGCTCAACAGCTTTTTGTAGAACAAACACTAATTGTCCCCATAATGCTAAGCAGTGTTATTCATGCATAATAGTGAGTTATATTTCCAGTGAGTAACGGCAATATTGTTTCAAAAGTTTTTTATGGGTGAGTTCTAATTTTGATTGTTGTAGCGTAAAGGACAAAATGAAAATTTTAATTTTTAAGCATATAATGAAGCATCGTACTTTTGTGTTTTCAAGTCAAGAAGCTTATTTTTGTATGGACTAGAGCTATAAAATTGGGGTTTAATTTCAATCTCCGATTCTTGAGTACTTTGACCTATGAGGAGTTTGAAGATTTATACATAATAATGTGGCTAATTTGTATCTATTTATTTCCAAGTACCATTACCATATCATTTTGGTAGGATTTTCTATATAAAATTTATGTTTGCAAATTATTTTCCAAAGATTTAACATTGAGGCTGGGACACAATTTAATACTACAGTAATATTACAAATTCAAATTTAACTACACGAAAATTATCCAAAATTATCATATTGTAGTTCAGATTTATTTTACACATGGATCTCACATTACACAAATTCAATCTCAACCCACAACTCCCATTTGGGATAAATTCAGGGTATTTAAGTGGGTTCATTTTATTTTTCTTAGTACTTTTGTGGGTTAGCTGAAGCACTTCCCAATGCAACTGCAGACCACTTTAACGCTTTCCATAGGTTGTCTGCTTTACATTGATTCATAAATATCAATAACTGAGGTTTATTTTATTTTATTTTTACTGGACTGAATGTACATATTTTAGTACTCTACCATAATCTATGTGCAGTTTCTTGTACATTGGACTGAATATCCATCATTTATTCGTCTATCATGTAGTTTTTGTTGTCACATGCTCTGTTTTCCTAAGCAGTATCTTATAGTAAGCATGTGTCTCATATATCAGGCACCAGAGTTCAATACCCCCCAAATGAAAGAAGAAGCATCATCATCTTCAAAATGTCAATCTTGCCTCTCTTCTTCCATGGGAAACTCTGAAATATTGCAGATAATGTCACTACCCAATTTCATGATGACCCCAAACTCGATCAATCTAGACTCAACAACCATGCCCTTACTTGACACCATAGAGACTGACCATCACAACAAGTCCTCAACTCAAACCCCTCTCCAACACTCCTTCACCCACCTCCCATTCTTGCCCGAAAGCCATGACTCCGTCTTGGGCCTCAGTGAATCCAACTTTCTTGATGTGTCCGCGAGCACTCGACAAGCTGTTGAACTTGAAAATGTGTCACAGATCAACTTTGGCTCACCATTCCTTGAATTGGATGGCACGGGGAGGAACGATGGAAGAGCTGATAGTTTCTTTGATGAATTGCCGGCTGACATGTTTGATTACCTCTAGCCAATTCCAAGCTCATTGAAGCTTTGAATCGCTGTTAGGAGATGTTTGATATGTGTATTGAACATGGTAGTGACAATGTCTTCTGGATATTTTGTGTTGCATATGTTTTACTACATGGTGCACTAGTTAGTGGTTTAATATTAGCTAGGCATGAATGCATTTTCATATTGTGGTATGACTGAGACTTCTTTGTAGTATATTATTACTATTTCAGTTCTTCTACATGCACAAAATTTAATCATAAAATTACACATTTATACTTACAATTGTGTCTCATTTTGTGATCGGACTCTTTTTACAAAGATTTTTTTTTATTACTATTTAGCTTATACTACAACTACTTGTGTGTTATCGAACATTAAAGGCGATTTTTTTGGAGTTAAAATAGCTATTTCAATCATTCTGTGAAGTTGAAATGGAGAGATGCATCATTAAAAATTTATTAAGGCTTGCATGTCCAATTTTTTCTTGTTCAATTTTTAAGAGTAAAAAATTTTGATAATTATTTTAAACAAGTTTAATAAAGACCAAGAAAATAAAAATCAACAAAAAAAAAAAAAAAAAAAAAAAACCCAAAGCAAAGCACAAAACGAGATCGATCAAACCCTAAGACATCAAGATTGTTAAAGATCGATACAAAATATATATTTTTTATGCATATATTTATAGATTTAGAGAGAGAAAACTTACCGACGATGGAAACCCTAGAGAGAGGTCAGAGGACTTGGTGTTCCAAAAAGAGGGCTTTCTATGGTGCCAGATTTGAGTTATATTCGAGAATTTTTATTTTATTTTATTGAAATGGAAATATTGAAGAAGTACAATAAATTACTTGTTCTTAAAAACAAAAAAATATAAAAAAATAAAATAAAAAATACTAAAAAATATAATAAATTACATTAAGTGGCTGTTTTAGATGAGGTAAATAAATATATATTTTTGATATTTTATGAGATAATGTGAAAAAAATAAAGAGGTGATATGATTTGAAAAAAAATTAAGATAAAAAAATGTACTACAATAGATCAGGTAAAACAAGCCCTAAGCTTATTTTTGTTGCCATTACTAGTGGCTCACAAAATATGAAAAAAAAAAAATAAAATTGAGAATTGTTTTGTTGTTTTTTTGGTTCAACGGTTTAGAGTGTCCGAACTAATTTATATGCTGACAATGATAGAGAAGTCTAATTTTAAAATTTTAAAGAGAGTTTTAATGATGTGACAAGAGGGAAAAAAAAACAAAAACAAAAGAAAAATGAGTGGTAGCTCGAAATCACTGTGGCCTGAATGTCTCGACTGCCCAAAACGACGTCGTTTTGGGCTGTCTTTTTTTTTTTTTTTTTTTTTTTTTTTTTTTTTTTTTTTTTTTTTTTTTTTTTTTTTTTTTATGTGGTTAAACTGTTAAAATATTTCACCGAAATCTAAGGTGGTAAAATATTGGATACTCCTGGCCCGCAAGAGTATAAACTGTTACAGCCCAAACATAAGTCAAAGACCACCAACGTTATTGTATGTGGTTAAACTGTTAAAATATTTCACCGAAATCTAAGGTGGTAAAATATTGGATACTCCTGGCCCGCAAGAGTATAAACTGTTACAGCCCAAACATAAGTCAAAGACCACCAACGTTATTGTATGTGGTTAAACTGTTAAAATATTTCACCGAAATCTAAGGTGGTAAAATATTGGATACTCCTGGCCCGCAAGAGTATAAACTGTGTACGGCCAAACAAAAGTCAAACACCCACCGGTGGTATTGTATGTGGTTAAACTGCTAAAATACCTCACCGAAATCTAAGGTGATAAAACATTGGATACTCCTGGCCCGCAAGAGTATAAACTGTGTACGGCCAAACAAAAGTCAAACACCACCAACGGTATTGTATGTGGTTAAACTGCTAAAATACCTCACCGAAATTTAAGGTGATAAAACATTAGATACTCCTGGCCCGCAAGAGTATAAACTGTGTACGGCCAAACAAAAGTCAAACCCCACCAACGGTATTGTATGTGATTAAACTGCTAAAATACCTCAAAAGTCAAACACCACCAACGGTATTGTATGTGGTTAAACTGCTAAAATACCTCACCGAAATCTAAGGTGATAAAACATTGGATACTCCTGGCCCGCAGGAGTATAAACTGTGTACGGCCAAAATAAGATAAATCAATGTATTGTATTGAGAAATTTCATATAAACAAATAAATCTATTGTGTACGGCTAAAATAAGACAAATCAATGTATTGAGAAATTTCATATAACAAATAAATCTATCATTGAGCGAAATTTCATAAATACATTATGTTCGGATGAATAAAAAAATAAAAGTGCATTCATTCATTAAGAGAAGCCTTAGCCCTTTCAAAAGCACGTTCCACAACACTGTGTTGTCCATTCTTCTTCTTGTGTTGGTTCAAAACATTCTGAGCAATTTGCATGCCTTCTTCTGATTTAGAAACACTCTCGGAAGCTTGTGCAAAATCACACATAAAGGATGCACGTTCAGCTTGGGTGGATGACAATTCTTCTTCAAGTTGTTTGAGTAACTCTTTAGTTTGAATAATCCTTTGATTAAGACCCGCAATGTGCTCATCCGACTTGATAATTGAAGCAGACAATTGTTCATGTTCGCCAGAAACTTTGTCGAAATGAAGCTTCTTCTCATAATATTGGGCCTCAAATTCTGCAGTAGACAAGTTTGAAGAATCTGCAAGTTGGGTTTTCAAAGCAAAGCACTCAAGGAATATCTTAACCTTCTCATAAAAGGAGATGAAGTCTACACCCAAACTCTTCAAAATCATGAAAACGTTGTTTGCTACAGCAATCATGTCATTAACATCCGTCATTGATTGGAGGGAAATAGTAAGACCTTTCTGAATATGGGTGGCTGCTTCGTTAGAAGAAGTTCCCAAAAGAAGGTTAGATGGAGCAAAGGGTGCTTCAAGTTTGTCAAATAATTTGTTAACCCCATTTGCTTCAAGTAAGTCAGCAAGAATTTGGGCCTCTTCCAAGGTATCAGAAGTAATTTCGTCTGTCTCTTCCAATGTGTCAGAAGTATTTTCTGTAAAAATAGAAGGAGATACTCAATGAAAACGCAGAAGGTAAAAGCAATATATATATGTATAGATGAATGAAGTATACCTTGGTGTACGGCTTGAAGAGACTTAGGTGAATGTGACAAATTCTGATTCCCACAAGTGGACCATGGATTTTGCAATGTGGCATGATCTAAAGAGAAAAGAGTTCCTTGAGTATGTATACATGATGAAATAAAATGAGATACAAGGAATGAATAAGAATACCCTTAAAGGTAGCCAATGGCATATGCGAGGCAGCTGGGGAAGTTTGAGGCGCAGTACCTAAGAAAATGAAAGGTATTAAAAAAAAAAATAAAATTAAAAAAAAAAAAATAAAAAAATAAAATTTTTTATACCTTTCTCTAATAGCTTGGGTGACTCGTTCGAAGGAGAAGAAAAAGCTACATTTGCTGAAGGCGATTTACTCATCTTAGTCGGTGTGCCATCTAAAAGAGGAGTGTAGTCATAAAACTCATCTTCACTCTCGCTACTTCCATTGAGAGAACAATCAAAAGATTTGGTAGGAGAAGGAATTTCAACACTCTTAATGCGAATACGACCCAAGGCAGTTAATTCATACCCATCTCCCTCAAAGAGTTCTTGAATCATATTCTCATCTTTATCTTCAAGAAAAGAGTACAAGTACGTGCGAAATTGATCCATTGGGGTTTTTGTCGCTACGGTGGGTTGGGAAGTTCCTGTGCAATCACTGATAGACATAGTCTCTGGAAAAAGCTTTGCGAGACAAGCAAATTGAGGGCCAGAATCTACTTGCTCAAAGCTAAATCTCATTTTAAATTGAGAATTACACATATCTTCGAAAAGATGAAGGAGATCTGAAACCGAGTAACTAGACCGAGAAGGAGCAATAAGTGGTCGACTATTATCCATTCTTTGAGGTGATGATGCTTCCAGAGCAATAGGTGAAGATGATGACCTAGCTCTAGAGTAAGAAGGATTCTTCGTCTTTCGGTCTTTAATTGGCATATCCAGTTTTCTCTTGCGTGAAGATTTCGGCTGGGAATGAGTAACATATTGGAGCACGGTAAAGGAAGTTCCCAACCACCAATTGGCATAAGGCATGGTTACGTGAGAAGTAGATCGGGAGCCTGGTAACTCCAATGAGACTTTTGTACCGCAGCGTAACATATGGCGCCAGTTGTAATAAAATTTAGACCACTCAGAGGGCCGCCGACAAGATACATTAAGTGGTATAGGGCATGCTTGAGCAAACCCAAATTGACGACCGTATCGGTTAGGGGAGTACGGTTCAGAAATGAAATTAAATCCCATTTTAAAAGTTAAAATCCCTTGCCTCAAAGATATAAGATATCCAAGGTGGAAAGGTGATATCCTTTCAGAGTCGACCAGATACATTAAGTGGTATAGGGCATGCTTGAGCAAACCCAAATTGACGACCGTATCGGTTAGGGGAGTACGGTTCAGAAATGAAATTAAATCCCATTTTAAAAGTTAAAATCCCTTGCCTCAAAGATATAAGATATCCAAGGTGGAAAGGTGATATCCTTTCAGAGTCGACCAGAATGCCTGAAGGTTCACTTTCATGAGTAAGAGCCCTAAACTGACACTCCGTACGGTTGTGTTCATTTTGGCCCTGAACAATCCTTGGTAATTCATGAGTGCTCTAGAGAATTTAGCATTCTCAATTCTTACAGAACCTGCCTAGTTCACACTCATATAGGTGACCTTTTATTAATAGTATCCTGCCATACTCCACTTGAATGTCCAAGCTATAAGAATCATTAAAAGCAAAGCTTATCCGACTAACGCTGCAAATATCACTCTTCTTATCATAGAAATGGGTAGGAGTAAACCTTCTTAGTGATACGGGAAGTCATCCATAATTCGGTTTTTCCTTTTGAACCTAGATCTTGGGATATTCAGTCAACTAGGTTGGGTTGCCATTATGGCGACTTTTAAGTAATAGACTTTAATCCCATTCTCCTAGATAAATAGTACACTTGCTCTCTAGCTAGCCCTTTAGTCAATGGATCCATAATATTTTCCTTTGACTTTACATATTCTTTGGAAATTATTCCATGTGAGAACAAATGTCTAATGGTATGATGTCTTCGATGAATGTGTCAAGACTTACCGTTATACATATGATTATGTGCTCGTCCTATTGCTACTTCACTATCACAGTAAATGTATATAGCTAGCACAGGTTTAGGCCACATTAGAATGTCTTCCAATAAATTACGAAACCATTCTACTTCTTCTCCTGCTTTATCTAATGCGATAAACTCATATTTCATTGTCGACCTAGCTATGCATGTCTACTTGGAAGATTTCCAAGAGACTACAGCACTTGCCAGGGTAAAGACGTATCCACTAGTGGATTTTGAGTCTTTCGTATCTAATATCCAATTTGCATCACTGTACCCCTCGAGTACTGCTGGATATTTGGTATAATGTAACCCATAATTCCAGGTATATCTTAGATACCTAAGTACCCTAATTATCACTTTCTAATGATCAGACCCTGGATTACTTGTGTACCTACTCAATTTGCTTTCAGCATGGGCTATATTTGGCCTAGTGCAATTCATTAAGTACATCAAGCTTCCGATTATCCGAGAGTACTCTAATTGTGATATGCCTGCACCTGTATTTTTTTGACAAATGAAGACTAATGTCAACAGGTGTTTTAGTAGAACGGTCGTCATACTTTCCAAATTTCTCCAGAATCTTCTCAACATAGTGAGATTGAGATAAAGCATATCCTTCAGATGTCCTAGTAATTTTTATTCCTAGAATTACATCTGCTACTCCCAGATCTTTCATGTCAAACTTGTTGTTCAACATATTCTTTGTAGATTTAATCATGTCATTATTGCTTCTAATAATGAGCATGTCATCCACATAATGACAAACTATGACATAGCCTTTGTCTATGCTTTTAACATAGACGCATTTGTTACATTCGTTTACCTTAAAACCATCTAAACACATAGCGTGATCAAATTTTCCATGCCATTGTTTTAGACCTTGTTTTAATCCATAAAGACATTTAACAAGTTTACAAACCTTTTTCTCTTGGCTAGGAACTTGAAACCTTTCTGGTTGTTCCATACAGATTTCCTCATCTAACTCGCCATTCAAAAATACTGTTTTAACATCCATTTGATGTATCTCTAGATCATACAGAGCTACAATCACTATTAGCATGCGAATGAATGTTATTCTTGTCACTGGTGAATAGGTGTCAAAATAATTAAGGCCTTCATCTGCCTGTATCCCTTAACAACAAGCCTAGCCTTGTATTTATCTATTGAACCATCTGCTTTCATTTTTTTCTTGAATATCCACTTACATCCAAGAGGTTTGCACCCTGGTGGAAGATCCACCAGTTCTCAAGTATGATTTTGCAGAATTCATTCAATTTCTCTATTTACAACCTTTTTCCACAATGGAGCTTCAGGACTGGACATTGCTTCCTTGAAGTTTTGAGGCTCATTTTCTAACAAGTATGTCAGAAAAGCCGGATCAAATGATTTAGAGATCCTAGCCCTCTTGCTATGTCTAAGTTTATCTGCTTCATTATTATTGTGGTCTTCACTGCTACCCATAGCAGTAAAAGTTCTTTTTTTTTTGGAACTTTTTTCTTCAGTTTCCTTAAATGGAAAAATGTGTTAAAAAAACAACGCATTCTTTGATTCAATAATAGTGTTTACATGCATATTAGGATTTTCAGATCTATGTACCAAAAATCTATATGCACTACTATTATTTGCATAACCAATGAACATACAATCAACGGTTTTTGGTCCTATCTTAATCGTTTTAGGACTAGGGACTGCCACCTTGGCCAAACACCCCCACACTTCGAGGTAATTATAGATAGGTCGTCGACCTTTCCATAATTCATAAGGTGTTTGATTGAGTTTCTTATGGGGTACTGTCACGACCCAAACATGCCCCTAAAAGTTTGGTCCATGACCGGCCTATACTTAGGCCTCAAAACAAAATTTCATAAATATTCACTCAAATATGGGGCCTTAAGCGGAAGCAAATACCAACATAAGGATAATGTCCATTGAGCTTATGCATAAATGAAGACTTAAATTAATTTAAGCATTTAAATACACTTTCCATATTTACATATTTACTCGTAGAACTTATATAGATCTTACACACTATATGAAAGACTTCAATACAACTAGGCTTGACGAAGTAAAACCATGCCCCTTTCATGGAGGCACTTATTGGATGGCTTGATAGCTAGGTGAACTTCGGTACAACTTTAATATTGATCCTTCGATGGCTCACCTACATATATATATATATAAAGTAAAGGGTGAGCTAACGCCTAGTGAGTAATATTAAAGTAAAGAGGTTAATGAATGATGTCCTTAATATTAAGAAAACATACTTCACAATTCTGAAATGTATCTTAAATCATGTTAAAACAAACATTTATCATATCAAAATCTATGCTTTTTCAAACGGATTACATACCTAAACTCATCACAAAACATTTTGCATGGTATGTGATACGCCCATTTATACAAAGGGTTAGAATCACATTTCAAAATAGGATATCCATTCATGCATATCAAATGACATTTCGTAATCATGAATCATATAACGAAGTAACAAAAAAAAACATTCTTATTCATATCATATTTTCTGAATGACCTCGGTTCCATGTATAATAAAACGGCCTTAGGCCCAACCATATATCAAATGACCTTAGGTCGAAATGTATCATATCACTTGTCGTGGAGTAGATGGAACATCGACATGTCTCCACCTTTCCTTGGGCCCAATTCATGTATGTATGGACTTAAGATGTGTCTCGTACGAATTCTAGAGGTGACTCTCAGTGTAACACTTAGGCCTCGTTTGGGAACTCTCATTTTTAGTTAAAAAGTCAAAAAGTTACTAAATTAGCTAAAAAACCAATAATCCATACTAAAAAGTCAAAGATTCTCTTTTCTCTCTGCTTTTTGCACATCTTTTCGTAAAAAGTCAAAAAGTCATCCCAAACATATTAGTTTTTTTTAGCTCATATTTTAGCCAAATAGCCAAAAAGTTACTAAATTAGCCTGTTCCCAAACGAGGTCTTAGTTCTATACAACACTTTGTTCTATACCAAAGTCAATAGGTCTTAAAGACTGAACAATTCATATCATATCATAACATAAACAGAACGGCCTTGGGCCCACCTTATCATATCACCAACAATTTCACATTTCATATCCATATTCCATATTCCATATCACAGTTCTTGTAACTCATTCATTCGCAGAAAACATAATTCCAAAACATCATAACATTTATGTATTGAAATAAATATAAATGAACATATCTTTACAATATTATTACTCACATTGATGGGCTTCTGGTAGCAGTTGGACGATGTTCTTGTCTTGACCTACAATCACAATTACATAACACAACATATGAATGTAACTAATCCCTTTCTTTGCTCTTTAATCAATTATTTATGTTGGTTCTAAACTCATTAGTCCTCAATGGATCATAATTCATATCGAGGAAAATAGGAAGAAACAGAAGGAAACTGGGTTAGGAGAAGAAATAGCATGTACTACAACAAAACTGACTTTTTACGGTACCACATTAACGACATACAATAAATGCATGCCGTAGTTTCTCACTTTTATGACTTACTTTTTTTGCATGTCGTAAATACTTTTTCAACCACGGCCTATCTATTGCGTAGGCCGTGAATGCTATCAATGATAATTTTTTTACGACTTGCAATGTTAGTCATAAATAATAAAACTTTTTACGGCGTGCATATGTCACGCTATTAACACATCAACTATACACAACACACGTATGCCAGCCGTTAAAAATATTGAACATTTCACGACGCACAAAAAATTAACCGTTAAAAATATTAAACTTTTTACGATGCATAAAAAATTAATCCTAAAAAAATATACTTTCCACGACACATATATGTTAGCCATTGAAAAAGTTTTAATTCTCACGGTACGCAACTTCTGTTGTGAACAATATGAAAAAAAAAAAAAAAAAAAAAAAAAAAAAAAAAAAGCCAAAAAAAACCTCGGTAACAACTACATCAAGCGCGCGCGAAAAAAAAAAAAAAAAAAATCAAAATTGATTAACTCGTGGCTTTTTACAATAGAAAGGAACGAGGTTCATCAAAAGGAGCATAGAAAGGAGAAAGAGTGACTGACCATACAACCCTTGCTCTGCCATTGTTGCGACCTCTTTCTGCAGTATGAAACAAAAGAAGAAATGGGAAAGGAGAAGCCAAAATCCATAGGAGTATGGCCTGCAGTGAGACCCTTTGTCAATGGCGGAGCGTCTGGCATGCTCGCTACCTGTGTTGTCCAACTCATCGACATGATCAAGGTACCCTACTTCTTCTTCTTCTTCCTCATACTCTCTCTCTCTCTCCCCATCAGTTAAATTTCGCATATTTGTCCTCTCTTTCAAGGGTTTCAGATCTTCGACTCTGTTAATGTTACATCTTCATTTTGTGCTTCTTTGTTCTACTTCTGTTCTGCTCACTTTTCACCCAAAACTCTTTGATTTTCTGTTTCGCTTTGCTTTGCCCTCAGATCTTAGACCAAAGGCCTCCATCTCCAACCTTCACTATGTTGAATTGTGAGCTGAAAGATGATTTTTATTTTTTATTTTTATATGTTGGTTAGTTAAGATCAAAGTGGAAAGTTACATGCTAAATATGAAGAATTTTGTTTTTGGAATCTAAAAATGGTGTTTGATTTTGAGCAACTTCTTTTGATATTTGACGAATCGAATGCACCATACCTGTTTGTAAATATGCCTCACTGAGAATTTCTTTTCATGTGGACTTTGTATCCTTCGCCCATTTGATTTCATGCAATTCTATGTAGCTCTGAGTTGCGAAGAATTCATCAGAAACTAGATAATGCTTGAGTTATTGGTGCATTTATAATAATGAACATGTGCCAGATAAATTTTGTAACTTCCACAAATACGCACACTATCTATTTGAGAATGGGAGCTATGAGGAGGCTATGGAACAGTTTTTGGCATCTCAAGTAGAAATCACATATGTGCTTTCTTTATATCCATCTATTGTCCTTCCGAAATCAGCTGTGGTACCTGAGCCGAAGAAGTATATAGACATCACCGGAGATACTCCATATCTGTCAAGAGGCTCGTCTGGTATATCAGATGATGTCTATATACTTCACAGATGATGGAATCCCCACCTACTTCACAGCTGTTGGAATCTGATGAGAGTGCTGCCCTGGAGTCCAAGAAAATGAGCCATAACATGCTAATGGTTCTCATCAAGTTTTTGCAGAAGAAGAGATACAGTATAATTGAAAAAGCCATTGCTGAGGGAACTGGGGAAGTTGTTTCAGATGCTGTTGGGGATAATTACGTATTGTATGATTCCAATCAGTTTAAGAAATCATCCAAGGTAAATTATTCATATTTTCCTTCATGAGGAAAATTAGGTCATGTCAAATATAATTCAAAAGTATTTTACATTGATTTGTAGTAGCTTTGCTTGATTCCTTCTTTTACTTGTATTTTCAGGAGTATTTATATAGTTCAAAAGTATTTATATTTGATCATGATCATTTGAATTAAATGCACAGATGCTAGACTGCATGGTTGCTAAATTTCATCCTAAAATATCCACACACATGCATACACACGTAATATGCATGTAATGGCAAGTAGTGCTGGCGATGGATGCACAAGTAATGATGACATCTATTTATAAATTATCATCAATATTTCATACAATAAATTATTTGAATTATCATGATTGATGTGGGTACTTGTATCAAGCTCAATACGTGGCAAGCCCTACAGGTGCCACATCACCAAAACCCCACCTACGTGGCAGACCATTAAGGCACCACGTCTGGCATGCCGTATGTTTGATACATGGTGAGCCCTATAGGCGCCATGTGCCAAGGCAACCAAAACTATATGCTTAGCCTAAGCGGGAGCATATATACAAGCCCAAATATATCTAGATATGAAGAGCCCTGCAACAGGCAGCACCATGGCCCTGCAGGGCCCATGGTCCTTTATACCTAGCTCCAAGGCCAAACAACAATACAATCAGCCTCCGGCTCACTTGTACTTGGATTGATAAACAATGGCTCTCCTAAACATTGAGATAGGCCTGCGGCCCATTCTCTTACTTGATCGCTCAGAAGCGAGCCCCTCTCTTAAACATTGAGCTAAGCCCGCGGCCCATTCTCCTTACTTGGTCACTTGGAAGTGAGCCCTTGGCTCTCTTAAACACTAAGGTGGGCCCTGGCCCATTTATCTACTTGGATGCCTGGGTTGGGAGCAGGATCCAGACACTACTGCTCGGGATCATCAGAGGATACTGGACTGGCGGCTGAGGTCATGGGATCGTCGAGATAGTTGTCTTCTTGCTAAGACAACTCTATCTCGACCAGGCTTGGAGAAGAGGCAACAATGACCTTACGTTCATGTCATTCGATGCATATACGAAATGTTACTTTCTGCCTGCCACGAAATGTTGCTCTCCGCCTGCCGGAAAGCCACAGACGGCAGAAGGGCTTATATCACTTCTGGCAGAGTTGAGGAGAACGAGCCACCTGTCCAACAGTTTGCTTGGGCTCCAATACTCTTGCGGCCTATATAACGTATCGTATATGCAGCGAGACATAACAACAACAATACAACCAAGTTTCATGCTAAAACACTCTCTCATACTTTACATTAGTATTCAAAGGTCTATCACTGCCAACCTCTCCCTCTCCAAGCTTGCCTTGACCTCCTCCTCTCCACCTCCGCTGATCCCAAGCCATTGAAGTGCCCGCCATCTTCTCGGACTACCTCTAACCACACCTCTCACCCACATTATACTCTGCTGGGGAAGAGTGGTGCTGCTTCGCATGGCACCCAAAAAGAACACTGGAACTGGAGTAGTGACGTCCCAAGGTGGCGGTAGGGAGATCCTGGCGGAGACCTCGGAACACAACTCCGGTGGCTCTCCGGAAGAACAATCCTCCCAACCGGTTATAACAAATTAGCTACTTATATTGACTGAGAGCGTCACCTCCCTTCAACAGAACCAACAACTCTTAATGGACGCCCTGCTAGCCTTACAAAGGGCACCTACGCTTCCATCATCATCTAACCCTCCCACATCATCTCAAAATGGCGTTTTGCCATTACCCCAAAATGGCTCAGAAGCCAACCTCGCTACGCAAAACGACTCGCGAACCCAAGCGGGAGGACAAACAGCCCCCCCGCTCCCTCCATTAGCTCCCAGCCAGACACCCCCACCACAAGTTGGGTCCATTAGTGGAGCTCCCATCGCAGTGGCTTCAACTGGCTCTCCAGCTCTTCCGGCAAATCAGAACCCTTCCCAGCCATTAACATTGGAGGTCGTAAAAGAGCACATACATAGCCTACTTCAGACAAACAAAGGTCACATCCCTGCCTCCCCAGAATTGGATCTCCGTCCTCCTTACCCTATTCACATCGCAAGTCTTCCATATCCGGCGGGATATACAGTACCCAAGTTTGTTCGCTTCGACGGACGAAAAGGGAACGCCAGGGAGCATGTTTCACGCTTTCTTGACGCCCTTGGAGCTCACCGAGAAGACCGAAACCTCCGCATGAGAGAATTCTCCAAATCTCTCACAGATCGAGCATTCTCGTGGTATGCTAACCTCGCTGTTGGCTCTATTTCTTCATGGGAAGACTTGGTAAAAAAGTTTTACATCAAGTTCTTCTATGTTGAAGAGAGGTTAACCACCCTTCATCTTATGAGGGAAACACAACGACTTGGGGAGGACATCCTTGTTTACGTCCGCCGTTTCAGGGAAAAAGCAGTAGACATTCAAGACCTAATGGAAGAACACCAACTGGTATCATTGTGCATTGAAGGAATGATCACGACTTATAAACTCTAGCTGGTCAACCACCACTTCCTTGACTTTTCCGCTTTATGTGCTGCGGCCCGAAACATAAGTGAAACAGTAAGATCAGGGGCACGAATGACAGCACCGCAACCCCACTCATGGCGACCAACAGCACCTCAACCTTCCTCATGGAGGCCTAACCGACGCAACCACGCTGTGTATGCAGCCAAGGGCTCCTCTTGGGGAAGAGAAGACCCGCAGGCAAAAAAGAGAAAGTTCGATCAAATTCCCTCGCCATTACCTATCTCAGTGAATGAGGCACAGGCACTCCTCAATGCCTGGGTAGAAGATGGAAAAGTTCACCTTCCCGAGCCAAGGCAACCTGTTAACAAAAAGGATCAAGCGCGGGCAGACTATTGCATATACCATCGTTCCGTTAAACATCCTACTACGGAATGCTGGGCACTCAGATCCTTAGTTCGAAAGATGATGTCTGAAGACGCTTTGGAGTTACCTCGCCAAACAGAAGATGTCTTGAAAGATCCTCTCCCGCGCCATAAGGATAATGGCAAGACGGTCATGATGCTTTCGCATTATGACGAGATGGAAGAGCCAATGGTGTGCGAGCTCTCTGAACTCCTAGCTCCCACTTGTCCGGACTTTGAGACTAGACGTGTGATAGCACTTAAGAAATCGACAAAGTTCAAATGGTTCTTCGACCAATTCGGCCTGTCTGAAGCAACACGCTTTGAAGCCACCAAGGCCTTTTTAAGACTTGCAGAGCAGAATGGTGAAACGTGCATGAGCGTAAGCGGATCAGTAAGAAAAGTATTTCGGGATAACTCCTTGGCAATAACCTTTACCGAGGCCGACAAACAAGTACCATTTCCACATAACCGTCCCCTCTACGTCCCAGTATTCATCAATGGGATGGAGTTTCAAAGAGGATTCATGGATGGAGGAGCTTCACTCAATGTGATGCCTTATTCTACTTTCCAGGCGGCCGGGATCCCACAAAAGCACTTAGTCAGACAACCCATCTCCATCACCGGTTTTGGAAGCTAAAAAATTAAAACCATAGGTCATGTCCAGTTAGACTTAGCAGTGGTACCAATTCGCTCTACTACTAAGTTTCATGTTATAGAAGCAGAGACGACCTATCAGGCTCTCCTAGGGAGAACTTGGCTTCACAGATATGCTGCGATTCCGTCCACCTACCATCAATGTGTCAAAGCAATCTACAACAATGAAGTAGTAGCCGTAGCTGGCTCTCAAAAGACTTTTCGAGTAGATGAAACTCACATGGCAGATGCAGTATTTTACAATCATGTCGACGAAGACGAACCTCCCCTGTCACTTCGAGGAACTCCTGTACCTGACTGGGATGACCTCTCTGAAGAAGGTTCATCACCACCTTGTAGAAAGATGTTCACCAAATCAGAGCCCTCAAGAAAGCTCCCTAGAGTCACCAGGTTTCAAACAAAAGATGGTAGAGTGATATACCGTTTATGACGGTGCGAGGGGTTGGCAAATGTTACCAATGCCGACCCCTAGCTAGACGACGTAGCAATTGTCCATCGTGAACTAAGTGGAGAAGATCACTGTTGCTACACCTTGTCTACGCTGGCCCTACGCTCGCCAATGGAAAAGAATAAAAAAAATAGAGACAAGAAGAGCAAAAAGAGAAAAAAAGCTGTGGCTTTCCCAGCAACGGATAAACACTCTGACAAATTCCATTGTCCTGCGGTAACTCATTTGGATGGAGCCGAAGGCTCAAAAGTTAAACCCCTCAAGGCAGTCATTTCATCTCCTAACCAAGTCCCCGCCAAGCAAGATGGATTGCAAGAAGTCCGACCTGCTCCGGAGTGTTTACAGGATGGTCCTAGGCCCCAAAAACAAGAACTGGAAGAAATCAACATAGCCTCTGAAGGAGAACCCAGGCGTCCTATCTTCATTTGCAAAGATCTCCTAGCAGAACAAAGGGGGCCCCTCATCGAGTTGATCAAGAAATATTCGGACGTTTTTGCATGGATATATGAAGAAATGCCAGGATTAGACAAAGATGTTACCATGCATCGTCTGAACGTCATCCCTCTGGCTTGCCCAGTCAAGCAAGGAGTAAGATTTTATAAGCCCGAGGTGGAGCTCAACATCAAGGACGAAGTGGTGAAGCTGCTTGGAGCAGGGTTTATCAAACCCATCCAACATCCCACCTGGTTTTCTAGTACCGTCCCAGTTGTCAAAAAGAATGGTCAAATTCGAGTGTGCGTCGATTTTAGAGATCTAAACAAATCTTGCCCCAAAGATGAGTTCCTACTCCCAAACATAGACACCTTGATTGATTCAGCGGCGGGTCATCATATGTTCTCATTCATGGATGGCTTCAGCGGCTACAATCAGATCAAGATGGCTCCAGAGGATGCCCCAAAGACAGCATTTTGCACTCCTATAGGCAACTTTTTCTATACTGTAATGCCTTTTGGACTGAAAAATGCGGGAGCAACATACCAGAGAGCTATGACGGCCATTTTTCATGATATGTTGCACAAGTCCTTGGAATGTTACATTGATGATTTGGTGGTGAAACCCAAAGAGGAGACTAGTCACCTCAAAGACCTCCAAAGAGTTTTTGAACGTTGTAAGAAATACAGACTCAGAATGGACCCGCTTAAGTGCGCATTCGGAGTCACTGCCGGCAAGTTCCTTGGCTGTATCGTTCATCGCCATGGGATAGACCCCGACCCAGCAAAGGTTGCCGCCATCAAAAATATGCCACGACCAACCAGTCTAGACGAGTTGAGAACCTTCCTTGGTTGGGCATCCTACTTGAGACGGTTTATCCCAGCTATGGCCGAAATAACACAACCCTTCAATTCATTACTGAAGAAGGATGTCAGGTTCATTTGGAATGAGGAACACCAACAAGCATTCGAAGGAGTGAAATTAGCTTTAACATCCCCTCTCTCCATGACTCCTCCTCAGCCGGTGAGGCCCTTACTCCTCTACATCTCTTCCACGCCGAAATCAGTCGGCGCTCTGCTCGCCCAGGAAATTGACGGACTTGAACGGCCCGTGTACTACATAAGCAGAGTCATCCAAGGGGCTGAGGTCCGATATTCCCCCATTGAACGACACTGCCTCGCCCTAGTGTTCGCAGCCAAAAAGCTCCGCCATTACCTTCTTTCTTATCCCATCCATCTCATGACCAGGAGTGATCTTATCCGCTTTCTCCTCACTAGACCAGCGCTCTCCGGCAGGCCAGCTCGCTGGCTCCTATCATTAGCAGAATACGACATCACTTGCAAAGCTCCCAAGGCCATCAAGAGTCAAGCGCTTGCCGACCTCTTAGCTCACTTCCCTAGTG